GTCAGAAACATAATTCATTTCAGTTTGATTTTTCTACTCTGCTTTTTTCTAATTTTAATGTTCTTACCTTTTTTGGTGTGAGCAGCTCTCCTTTGCTGCTGTTGGTGGAGGATTTAAAGTCTTTTAAAACTTCATGCAGTGTGTGTGCAACAGCATACACTGCAGTGTACACTTTATATTCTATCCGTAGCTCTGAAACATCAGTATATTCATTTTGCAGCTCTGAAAGTCTCTCTGAGCCAGTACAGCCACTGGTACTGAAAGAGCACTGAAAAGCTGTTTCCCAGAATTCTTTTAAAAGTTCATTTTTTAGTTCTTGATCAGGGTGCACATTCACTAGGAACTCTCGCAGACCCACAAGTTTGGCGTTCACTACAGCAAAGCCTACAGCTCCAAAGAGGAAACTATATTCTTTTGTTTCTGCAAGATTTCGAGATGTTATCCATGATTCACTGCCAACCCACTGTATCCCTGTGATGTTGTGTTCTGCAATCACGTTCAGGAGGGGGACAAAATCGCCTAAAGAGATAAAAGCCACCACCACCCTGGCTGTGCCCTTTTTTATCACTTCCAGTGTCTTCAGAAACTGTTCTTGTGGATCAGTTCTTAATACGGCCTCTGAGTATTCAATACAGATCCCTTCTTGTTTTGCAGCCTCTTCAAATGCTGCTATCCCATTATTACCGTAGTCACTGTGACTCCTGACTGTCCCAACCCAGGTCCAGCCAAAATACTTGACAAGCTGAGCAAGCGCTCTGCTTTGGTAATAATCACTGGGTATTGTTCTAAAGAAGGATGGATATCTTTTTCTGTTACTCAGGCATGCACATGTGGCAAAGTGACTGATCTGCAAGATAAAGTAGCAGAGTACATTAGCCATGCACTATATATGCTAATGCACTATAAATCATCACTATGCAGTTAACATAATTGTCATGATGACACTGGTAGAATCTAATCAATTTGAAACATTGATTTCTATATTTACACTTATTTTCATTTGGTAACATTTGATTTGATGCATATGTTTTTGGTGCATGTTCCAGAAGTTCATCATATTTATCTGCTACTTGTCTTGCTTAATTAGTATAAGTAAGAGTTCTTACAACAGGTATGTTGAATGGCCCAACCACAGTAGCCAAAGCTGTGGTAGGAGAGGACGATGACTCTCCAACAATGGCCTGAACAGCTGGTGATCTAGAGCAGAATATATCACTCAAAATCTCTTCATAGCCATTCATCAAAGCCATACCTGATTGGATAGCCAGATCTATAGAGTTACAGGCATCATATATTTTATAGCCCAAAGAAACACCAGGCAACAGCTGAGTGCTGTTATTTATCTCCTCAATGGCAAAAATAAATGTCTGAGCAAATTTAAATTCACGCAAGTTTAACCTGTGAAATTAAATCATCAGTCATGTGTAAAACTGCAAAATCATAAGTAATGTTCTTTTTTTTTTCAGTTAATCATTAATATCATCATACAGACCTGACACATGTTGTTGGCTTTGGTTTGGAAGTGAAAGGATGCATCTTTAGCAGAGCATTTCTGTGAATTGAGAAAATCGCTCCAATGTTGATGTCTCTTTCTGAAGAAAGTACAGGAAAGGCAGGTTGACCAAGCAGACTGCAGACTTGTGTAGAAGCTGGCACAAAGACACCATGCACCACCACCAGCAGTAGCAGCAGTGACACAGTCCTCTTTGCCATACCAGTAGTATGTATGTAGGGCAGGTACCTCTGAGACCTGGAACAGTGCTGCATTTGATCGTATTTTAAACTGCCCTGTGGGATTGGCATATTGAACCATTTACATATTTCATTATGGAGGAAACAGCATTCTGGGGAAAATTACAGTCTTGCTTAAATGTCTCTTTGTACAAGATATAATTTTGCACCATCTTAAAACAAGTTCTGAAAAGGCAAATTAAAGCTAAACAACAAAAGAATGTTTCATACATTTTTTGAAAGGGGTCATGAAATTGAAAAAAAAATAAAAAAAAATTACAATTACAAATTGGACCAAAAATGGGGTTTCACGAAATAACCTTTCTGTGCTACAAAGAACCTTTTGTGCAATGGAAAGGTTCTTGGATATTAAAGGTTCTTCATGGAACCATACACCCTGCCAAAAAACTGTTTAAGAACCTTTATTTTTAAGAGTGTACTGGAAGAACCATCCATTTTATTGATACTTCAGTGACTGCCTCAAAATGCATTTCAGTAAAAAAGATAATCTCCAATACAATCTCTGAATATTTCAATAGCAATGGTGAGCTGAGGAGAACTAGCAACTGGCTAGACTCTAGGGCCAAAATATTGACAAGGAAGCTATCACCATTAATGCATTCATCATCACACTAACTAGTCTTCTACCACGCTACAATCCATCACGCTCCCTAAGGTCGCAAAACTCTGGACTTTTGGTAGTACCTAGGATAGCAAAGTCCACTAAAGGAGGTAGAGCTTTTTCGCATTTGGTTCCAAAATCTGGAATAGCCTTCCTGATAATGTTCGGGGTTCAGACACACTCTCTCTGTTTAAATCTAGATTAAAGACACATCCCTTTGGCCAAGCATTCAAATAATGCATATCATAATCTTGTACTGCAGTTATATCTGATCAAATGCACATTATTATTCTTTAGTTTGGGTTAAACAAATACATTTTGCTTGGTTGGAACAGCAGCTGTGCTAATTATGTCTCTATTTGTTTCTCTGTTTTTGCCACGGGATTGACATCCCGTGCAGGGTTTGAAATTAACACCCGCCAACCCGCCAAATGCGTTGCTGCCACCTACTGGCGGTTTTAATTTTACATTTAAAGTATCTTTTAATTTTTAAAATAATTTTAAATATCAGTATTCAACATTTCATGTTTAAAATAACAAAACATTATTTATGCATTTGTAACTGCAGGTTAAAGCATTCCATGTCCCTCTAAGCTGCATTAACATGTGTAAATATATCTAAATGCCACTTCATATGCAACTTCTGCAAAGATTAATTTTATTGATACTGATTTAATTTGTTTAGTAACAGCCTAAATGTATTATTATTATAATTGACTGATTAAATGTAAGAATTTGACTCAAAAGATGATGCACACTTTTAGAAAAAATGGCTTCATAAAAGTAAAAATGCCCATAAAAGGTAAACATTTACTTAAAATTTAAACTTATTGGAAAATATTAATTTATATCACTGCTGTGAACTGACCACACGGAATATGAAATAACGTTATTTTAAAAACTTTAGGAGTCAGCTGTCCACGGTATCCTTTACCCTAAAAGTGGCAATGTATCCTGGGGGATACAAACATTTGAGAAGCTATGGGGAGAAGCAGGGAAAGTGTAGGTCTCATTTCCTGGTTTCATGTTGAAAGGGTGTCTTTTGTAAATATTTAGATATATTGAGTTTATTCACACATTCTTTGTTCAATCCCTGTATATATATATATATATATATATATACATACCACTGACAGGTGAAGTGAATAACACTTATTATCTCTTCATCACACCTGTTTGTGGGTGGGATATATTAGGCAGCAACATTTTGTCCTCAAAACTGAAGTGTTAGAAGCAGGAAAAATGGGCAAGCATAAGGATATGAGCGAGTTTGACAAGGGCCAAATTGTGATGGCTAGACGACTGGGTTGGAGCATATACAAAACTGCAGCTCTTGTGGGGTGTTCCCGGTCTGCAGTGGTCAGTTTCTACTAAAAGTGGTCCAAGGAAGGAACAATAGTGAAACGGCGAAAGGGTCATGGATGGCCAAGGCTCATTGATGCAAGTGGGGAGTGAAGGCTGGCCCGTGTTGTCCAGTTCAACAGACAAGGTACTGTAGCTCAAATTGCTCAAGAAGTTATTGCTGGTTCTGATAGAAAGATGTCAGAATACACAGTGCATCACAGTTTGTTGCGTATGGGGCTGCATAGCTGCAGACCAGTCAGGGTGCCCATGCTGACCCCTGTCCACCGCCAAAAGCACCAACAGTGGGCACGTCAAGTCAAGTAAAGTCAAGTCACCTTTATTTGTATAGCACTTTATGCAATACTGGTTGTGTCAAAGCAGCTTTACAGTGTCAAACAGGAAAATAAGTTTGTCAATAATGCAAGAAGACAATAACAAAGAGTAATTTTTCCAGCTAAAGTCAGTTCATTGATTCAGTGATGTCATCATCCAGTTCAGATCTCTTCCAATAATGTTTGTGCAATCAGTCAAGCGTCCCCAACTAAGCAAGCCAAAGCCGACAGTGGCAAGGAACAAAAACAAGTTCTCCCCTGGCCAGACAAAACCAGAATGGCGTGGTTTAATTCCAGGCTACAACACAGGTGCAGAGGACTTGTATGTTTCCCGTCGTCTTGTGCCGATGGTGGTCGAGGTGATGAGCTCTTTGCAGGGGATCTGTCTCTGGGGCACATCTAGTCAGGAACGAAACACCGTCATGTTGCTCAGAGACGCAAAACAGTGCAGTGGCTGTGTTTGGAATGTTTTTTGTTTGCAAAATAGAGCAAAAAACTGCTAATATGGTGTCTAAAACATAAGTCTCTTAATATTAACTTATTGTTTATTGAACTGTTATATAAAATCAATATCACTTTTTGGTTTTTTGAGTAAAAAATTATAACACAATGTGGTATCTTCAAGTGTAAGGTGTCATATTTTTCAGAAAATGATTGGCTTTCAGGAAATTACAGTTATTGTACATTATTGTGTGTGGTGAGTTAGTAAATAGAATTTAAATAGACAAAAAATTTAAACGGGAAGACATTTTACTGCTTTTTATTTAGAAAAAATCCGAAAACTCATGAACTAAATAATCTAATGCATCAGTCTTGAAAAAGGAACTATAATACATATATACAAGTCTTTTTGGGACACTAGATTGCACAGTTTTCACTCAGGAGACATTTGTTTTACCCCAGTTCTCCAGGCGTTTTTGGATCCTTCAATCCAGTCATTTAAATGTGGTGCTCTCTGAAGCAGTTCCTGTCTAACTGCAAGCATAGTCCCACATCACATCACATTCCTGGCACTTCCATGGGGTGCTCCTTTTGCATCGTATGCAACGACGCCGACCCATGCTGGCCCTCTCTGAAAGGTTTTGAGTGTTACTCACAGGAACAGGCAGATGATCACATCTCTCTCTCGGGCTGCCATCCAGGGGAACACCTGTGAGCTGAGCAGCTAGCAGCTCCTGAAAGTTTTTGAGTATAAAATTATAACACAATGTGGTATCTTCAAGTGTAAGGTGTCATTTTTTTCAGAAAATGATTGGCTTTCAGGAAATTACAGTTATTGTACATTATTGTGTGTGGTGAGTTAGTAAATAGAATTTAAATAGACAAAAAATTTAAACGGGAAGACATTTTACTGCTTTTTATTTAGAAAAAATCCGAAAACTCATGAACTAAATAATCTAATGCATCAGTCTTGAAAAAGGAACTATAATACATATATACAAGTCTTTTTGGGACACTGGATTGCACAGTTTTCACTCAGGAGCCATTTGTTTTACTCCAGTTCTCCAGGCGTTTTTGGATCCTTCAATCCAGTCATTTAAATGTGGTGCTCTCTGAAGCAGTTCCTGTCTAACTGCAAGCATAGTCCCACATCACATCACATTCCTGGCACTTCCATGGGGTGCTCCTTTTGCATCGTATGCAACGACGCCGACCCATGCTGGCCCTCTCTGAAAGGTTTTGAGTGTTACTCACAGGAACAGGCAGATGATCACATCTCTCTCTCGGGCTGCCATCCAGGGGAACACCTGTGAGCTGAGCAGCTAGCAGCTCCTGAAAGTTTTGCCGTGTCATGTGCTTGTCATGGTGGATGGCACACAGCTCTTTGTGTAAAATGAAGCTGTTGGTCACTGCAATGTCTAGGAAGTGCTGGAAAATTGTCATGTACCACTTCCGTGTTTTACGGTGCACAGAATTTGTTCCGAGCATCTGGTCAGAGGTGTCAACTCCTCCCATATACTTATTGTACTGCTGAACTGCTGTTGGCCTGGGAACAGGGACCTTCTCTTTTCGCCCATCCTCTGTCGTCTGCCACCTTAGCACAGTCTCCCCGCTGTACACTGTGTGGATAGTTGTGCACATGGTTACAAGAATGAACTTTTAAGTGTCTAAATTTGTATTTTGTGAGAGTTATTAGAACTCTCAAAGGGGGAACTGTGGGATTACAAATTTAAGAATCTGTTTAAAATATGCTGATCCTATGTTCTGACATAGCATCAGATGAAAAACTAAGGTGAAGTACATTGTATTTAGCATTTAAGGTAAATGACATCAGACAAATGATTCTCTTAAGCAAAGTTTGTAGCAAGAGGTTCCTGTCTGTTCCTGTTCTCTTATTGTTGGAGACCTCCCTTGTGTCCATCCACTTCACAAACAAAAGGACATCATTTCTGATCCAGCGAATGGAGCCTCTTGGTGACCTTTTGTTCAAGGCATTTTGTTTGGTTGAGGGAACACCAACTCTTCCTTCTCGATAAGTTCCACATGTGCCAAATCCCAGCTGGTGCAGATGTCGAAAGAGGAGAGGGCTTGTGTAGAAATTGTCACAGTAAATCACATAGCCTGACCCCAGGTAGTCTCGGTTCACCAACGATGTGACAACATCAAAAGACAGGCCTTTCCCAGATGCAAATTTTGACTTCCCAGTGTAGATTTTGAAGTCAATGGTGTAGCCGTTGACATCAGCTAACACAAAAAGTTTTATGCCCCACTTAGTAGGCTTGGCCTTCATATATTGCTTGAAGGATATCCTGGCTTTGGTGGCAATCATCCTCTCATCAACAGAAATGTGCTGTCTAGGGTGGTAAATAGACATGCACCTGTTCCTCATAATGTCCAATAGTGGTTGCTCTCTGTGTAGACAGTCATATTCCTCTGTGCCCCTTTTCTTGTCATTCTCTGCATCTTCCATTGGATCACTGATGTGCAGATTGCAGGAGATTGCTAAGAAACGATCCCTGGGCATCACAGTAACTGGAAAGGTAACATGAAACAAAGTCTTCTTCCTCCAGAAGTCCCTCACTTTTGGCAGATCCATCACACCCATGTAGCGAAGCAGACCTATGTACTTCTTAATTTCTTCAGGGTATACATCAGCCTATGTGAATTTCCTACCCCTCTCCAGATTTCTCACCGCATTCTCGTTTGTGTTTGCACACAAGAAGTTTATGACCCCTTTGTCAAAATATTGACTGAAAATATCAAGTGGAGACTTTTTTACAAATGTGAGTGGAGGCTGCACTCCAGGTATTCTTTTAGGAGTAAACCTTGGAATATTGGGCACTATATCAGAATCTGCCTCTGTGTTCCATCTTCCATCATGTGATACTGCTTAGAGGCTACGCGATTCCTCACGGCCATGAATGCGCCCACGGCTATGGCTTCGCCCACGGCTACGGCTACGACCACGGCTACTGCTGCGATCACGGCTACGGCCCCGGCCCCTATGAGGTGGTGTTGTGTTCGATGTGGATGGCCCATTTGCTTCTTCGTAGGTAACTGAGAAGCCACATTGGGAAAAAAAATAGAAGCATGTGTTACAAACTCACTATATATTCATAAAAATACTTTTCATTATAAAGCAATTTATTAGTGTAACCCCTATAAAATTAGGGGTACTAAGTCAGAGGTAGAAGTATATAATTTCCTATAGAAGGCGCTCTACTTCTCTTAGTAGAGTGGAGCATAGACTAAGCAAGAATCCCATTTTCCTGTCGATGATTCTTCCAGAAACGGGCATGCAGATGAGCTCCTGAGTTTATATATTAAAATACTGAAAAATTTGCTTTACATCCTGAGTTCATCATTGAATTTAATTACTAAGTTGTTTAGTACTTTGATTCCACTTGGACATCGAATGAAGCACTGTTTGGTCAACTTTGATTAATCTTCGGTGAGTGAGCCGCATTTTGCTAGTTCTGTTCTGGCTAGCTACTTAGATGGAATAGAGGAGTGGTGTATGTTTGTTTAAAAAGACAATTTCCTTACAAAACCAATCGGAGTATCCGAGAATTCTGTGTTTTTAACCCATTTTGGTACATAGTATCATAGTTGTAAGAACAATCACTGTCATTTACGACAATGTTCACACTTGTACTTTCATGCACACAATGTTTTAAAGTTAGAGGCGACCTGCTGGTGCAACATAATGGGTCGGAGTGACTCGTTTCAAGCAAAATAGTGATTGTAAAGGGGTTATAATGCAGATGCATTACAAGTGTATTTATTTTTAGTTATACATGGTATTTTGAATGAGTTAAAAGGGAATAATGCAATTTCATTTTATGTTAATGTGAAACATTAAAAAGAGATATGTTTTTGAGAAGAACAAATGTAAAACACTGTGTTAGTGATGTTAACATCTTTATTGTTGTTTTTGATTTATGTAATTAATTTTATTTTGGAAACACATGTTTATAAAAAATACAATTGCTTATGTAATCTAAGTGCATCTATAGTAACTGGTTGCACCGATTGTACTTTGAAAGATAGAAAAGAAGTTAATGAGGTCTCATGTTAAGAACAGAACATTTATTTCTTCTATGCTTTGTGTAGATTGGTTTTTTGAGTTATCAGAAGAATTGGAGATGGCGAGCCCAGCCCAGTGAGACTGTGTGACGATCATGAAAGTGGTGTGGCCAGCCGCGAGATTCGTCACAGAGAGAGCCCGATTGGCTTGATTTGTCCATTGAAACACCAGATAAGAGCATCAACCTTGTTTCATCCACACTGGTAGGAATACTTGGTGCACTCAACGCACCTACATTCGAGGAGCGGAACTTCCCTTTTGTTTGGAATCCATACACTCATTCAAGGAACTGATCGCTTTTGGAATCTGTGCACACACTGGTTTAAGGAACTATTCTTTGGACTCAGACCTATATATACAAGGACAAAGAACTACATTTAAACAGGGTTCTGTTGATTTTGTTTATTTGTTATTTATTTTTTGAAGAGCTCTTCGTTTTATTTGATCATTTATATACCCAGTTAAGGCTGTGTCTGTTACATTGCTGTTTCTGGCAATAAATCAGTTAATTGTTCAACTGACTCACTCTTCTTAAGCAACCCCTGTCCAAGCCTAGATAGATGTTAGTGCTTATATCTCTGGTTCAGGACTAAAGGCGCTACACTAACATGGCGAGCTAGCCAGCCTGAGGGTTTGAGCTTATTTTCAATTGGAAGTTGAACGATTGACTCTTTTATTGCATCTTATCTGAAAATACATGTCACTACTTACTGTGGAATATTTTGTGCTGACAAGAAGTACAGTATGGATGTAATTCAGTCTGAAAATGTAAAAGTACCCAATTCATTTTTAGTGGGTGGGTTGACTGGGGGTGAGGAAGACAATGATATTTTCGAGTACTTAGGAACATTTGGTTCTATCAGTAGAACAATTAAGATAACTAGTGATGAACCTCAGTTCAAAGACAAAGCCATCATATAATTTACATCAGGTGCACCAATTCAGTTTCTGCGTGATACGTTGCCCTGCCAAAGACCCAGCAGTAATCCAGATGTTATTCACCAACTTCAGCTTCTATCCGAGATATATGCTGCTGACAAAAGTTCTAGCTTAACCCACTCTTACTTAGCTGAACTGCAGGGTATTGCTAAACTAAGTGGCACAGACTTTGAGAAACTTTTGCTGGATGAGCTGGCTAAAATTCAGAAATCTACTAAAATTAAGACCACACCTGAACCAAATATAGCAGTTGCTACACGGAACTTACAGGCCACTAATGATGAAGCCCAAGTTGAACCACTATCTCCTGAAACTCAACTCCTCTTACAAATAGACACTGATTTTCCCCACTTACATGAACTTGATTCACGTGCAGTCACTGTTAATGCTGAGACATTAGCCTCACACAAGACACAGACCTTTCAATTAGGTCCTGAACAGCTCACCACTCCTGAAGTCCAAAAAGTAGTGGTTGAGCATGTTATCAAAAACAGTGCCTGCTCTCCTCAGTTTCAAGATTGTGTCAAGCTACGGCCTTTCTCTGGGAAACTCCCCTGTCCATCTTCTGAGTCTGACTATGACACATGGCGCAGCAATGTCGAGTTCCTTCTTACAGACGCCGCTGTGTCTGAAAAGCACACAGTACGGAAGATAGTTGAAAGCCTACTTCCGCCTGCTGCCCACATTGTGAAGCATCTTGGGCCACAAGCATCTCCTCATGATTACTTACGCCTTCTTGACTCAGCATATGATACTGTTGATGATGGAGATGAGCTTTTTGCACTGTTCTTGAACACCAAGCAGAATTCAGGCGAGAAACCTTCTAGCTATTTGCAACGAGTGCAGACTGTCTTGAGTAAAGTGGTGACAAAAGTATCTGTCCAGTCACACAGAACAGAGAACCAACCTCAATTCCCTAAAGGACTTATTGGTCAAAAATGTACAGCTAATGTTATGGTGTCAGGAGTGAACTGTAATTGTGTCCTTGACACTGGGTCTCAAGTGACCACTGTTTCAGCTTCCATTAATGAGAACCATCTGTCTGAGCACCCCATTCAACCTATTGACGACCTCAATGTTGAAGGCGCTAATGGGCAGCATGTTCCATACGGCATGTTCCATATCAGCCTGAAGTTTCCGAAAGACTTTGTTGAAACTGAACCTGAAGTTTCCACCTTAAAATTAGTAATTCCAGACCTGCGCAGTAGCAGTGACATACCCGTACTGATTGGAACAAATGCTCTTGATGTCTTATATGATGAACATTGCCACGACAGAAGGCCTAATGACTTATCTCCTGTTTATGGCTATAGACAGATCCTTCACACATTGAGGCTTAGGAAAGGGGTTAGCTCAACCGGGTGAATTGGCTTGTTGACTGTGAAAGACAAAGCACAGAATGTGTTACCTGCTCAAGGAAGAATCCTTCTTGAAGGGTATGTTAAGGCCAACACGGCCAGCGAGTGTGCTGTTGTTGAACAACCAGAAATGTCCACCTTGCCTGGAGGAATCCTTGTGGAGTGCTGTCTTGTGACTCTGCCCAAGCAGAATCCTTACACGCTATCGGTGTGGGTTAGAAACGAATCAGAGCATAACATAAAATTGGCCACACATTGTATTATCACTGAACTCCACACTCCTGAGATAATTTACGATAACTTGTCTGCCTCAAAGAAAGATGCTGCTTCGGTGAAATGTTGTGCTGTCTCTTCTCAGCCAGTACATGAGGATGATAAGTCCAGTTTAACAATTGATTTCAGTGATTCTCCTCTCTCAAAAGAGTGGAAAGATAGGGTAACTCAGAGTTTGACTGCTTATGCTGATGTCTTTGCCCAGCACGATGTTGATTTTGGGCATACATCTAAAGTGAAACATCATATAAAGTTAAAAGATCAGACACCCTTTAAGCAAAAGTCCCGACCTATTCACCCTAATGGCTATGAAGCTGTAAGAAAACATCTGCAGGCCCTCCTTGATGCTGGCGTGATTCGCGAATCGGAGTCTCCTTACTCTTCTCCAATTGTAGTTATTCGGAAGAAGAATGGGGACATCCGACTTTGTATTGATTATAGGAAACTAAACACACTGACGATTCGAGATGCGTATGCACTTCTCAACCTTGAAGAAGCTTTTTCCACTATTGCCGGTTCCAAATGGTTTTCGGTAATGGATCTCAAATCTGGTTATTACCAGATTGAAATGGAAGAGTGTGATAAGGCCAAGACTGCTTTTGTGTGCCCGTTGGGGTTTTATGAGTTCAACCGCATGCCTCAGGGCATCACAAATGCTCCTAGTACCTTCCAAAGGTTAATGGAGAAGTGTATGGGCAGTCTCAATCTCAAGGAAGTGCTAGTCTTTTTAGATAATGTAATATTTTTCTCCAGCACATTGGAAGAACACGAAGCTAGGCTTCTACGTGTGCTTCAGCAATTAAGAGAGTATGGCTTGAAACTTTCTCCATCCAAATGTCGTTTCTTCCAAACCTC